AAACAAACAGCCAACAAGCATGCAAACATAAAACCTATTTTGCCCCCAGGGCATATTTCCCAGTGGCAAAGGGGAGGGTAGATAGGGCTTAGCGCGGCAGTGTGCAGAGTTCGATTCCCCGTAAGGTAGAATTGACTTTGTTGCAAGCGGGAGTTACCATATAGGTTAACAGCCTTGGCCTATCCATTTGCTCTCCACCCTGGCTACTGGGAGGCACATCCTGCGATTTACCTCCTCCACGATGGTCCAGGACAAGGTCGGTGGGGACCCATAAGGTTGGGGTTCAACCTTTAACATAAAACCTATTTTCAAAAACACGAAAAGTAAAAGCACGAGGTTGATTCATCCAACAAAAATCGCATTTTAAGACAAATAACTGTTCCGTCTGTATGTCCGTCTACCTTTACAGAATGTTGTGCCGCATCTAATAAGCCAATAATATTTCTTTAGCCTGACAAACGAACCTTTGCCTGACGGCACATGGACCTTGAACAGTGCGTTCAATGTTACGAGATTAAAGTTGATTAAATAATTATAATTTAATCTCATTGCAATTCATTATAAATTTGTGTGTTTTGAGATTTGTGAAAGGAGATCCAGAAATAAATTATAATAACTAAGAAGATATTAAGCATTACATATATAATTTGTATTTAGCTTTCAAGTTAATTAACCTTTCAGAAGCGTTAAAAATATATGTATTATATTTATGTGACATCTTTACGGATTATTTAAACTACTATCGTATGATTATGTACTCAATTCAAAATATTTCACTACAATTCAAGTAATAGAAATAACACAATTTTTTCCCGTCTCTTCATAGTTTATGACGAGAGAGAATTTTCTATCCACTATCGACACAATTTCAATAATACTTCATATCAAAATAGTACAATTTAGTCGTGAATTCATCAAGCACGTTATAATAAGTTTAGTCTCTCGCGATAACTAGCTTGGCTACTGATAATTTGTTCTCCTTTCTGATTTCAAAAGAAGGCTAAGTCTCTCATGTGCTTTTATTAGTAAACCGCACATTTAGCTCTTAAAGTCTTATTCGAGTAGTAAGTTGGTCATTGATTGTTAAAAATATTAAGTTGGTAATGAGACTTTCATTATAAACGCACAAATACTTTCATAAAGCAGAAGTCATCCAAAATTCTTTTAACTCGTAAATTTGGCTCCATTTCCTACTTCACATTTCTAAATATCAGTTCAAGCTAACTTAATTCGATAGCATGTAACATTCACACGATGGTTCAAAACAAAATTTGAAGCAGTGGATGTTTAACGTAGCGAATTAAAAGCATATATATGAGTTGTTTATAATGTATTTAAATTATACACAGATAGAATTAACCGGTAAATAAGTATGTTGTAATTGTAGATCCCAAAAATTATTTAATCGACCATAAACAAGTAGGAAGCATGGGCTAAATGTGTATTATTTCTTTTATAGCTCCCGTTTGGCTCTCATTAGATTCTATTTCATTTTTATTTATCTTATTTTCAATCACACAATTTTAAATAAAATATATTACACGTAAATCGATTTTTTTTTTTTTTCAATAACTCATTTAAAAAAAAAAAAAATTATTTTACCTATTTTCATTTAAAAAAATAGGGGCCAAACGAGGCTAAGTCACATCACAACTTTATTTAAACTATTCATTTGAGGATGGGATTCCATTTTGGGCACTTTACAGATACCCCTGAAAGGTGAAAAGTAACCAAGGGGCATCGTTTTCGTTTAAATTCCACTTTTTTGAATGTAGAACATTTCTCTTTGCTTTTTGGGCATCACGTTATGCGCAGCAACCAAAATGTCAGAAATCTTGCTGCTTAGGGCTCTAGGCACCACACAAATGGACCACTGAGGGAATCAGCTTTAGGCTTTTTAGCATTTGAAAGTAAGTGGGGGACTCAAACATATGAAGAAACTAGAGTAGATGATCAATTTATGAGGGGAAATAAATATGGGAAATTGTAGCTACTAGTTAACGGTTTATTTCAAGGTTGGTTAGTTGGCTGCACCTATGTGAACCACGGTGTCTTTGATTCGCGTCAACGATGAGTTCGACTTTGATGGATGTCACATATTTCACGTAGTAAATTAGACGAGTAGTGTAAGTAACTTTTAGTCACCTCAATTATCAATAACAATTCTAGTATATCTCGGTAGTCATAGTAAAGTGTGAATTGATTTACAAGTTTTATAAATTTTTAGGGTTGGACAAAACTTCCGAAACGAAACGAACCGAACCCTAACCAAGCGGTTCTTCTTAAGTTAAATATCGGAACAGGTATCTGAATCGATAACTGATGGGTTTGATTCGGTTCCGATTCTAGATCAAGAACTGAATAAAAACTAAATCTTGCTAATTTTTTAATTAACTTATTTTAAATAAGTTAAATTATTTTATTTTTCTAAATAAATTTCTTAACTAGTTAATTTAGTTCAAGCAAAAAAAAAATGATTTTCCTATTTCTATTTTTCAGTTCAAAGCAAACTTAATCAAATTAACCTAAATTTTATCTAAATTCGTTATTCTATTGTAGCGTCGTTTCTACTGTTTTGGAGAAATCAAACTGAAGTTCGACGACGCATCTCTCAATTATTTTGAGCTCGCTATCTTTCTCTTCCCATGATTTCAACAATCAAATTTATGAAGAATTCGACAAAGAGAGAAACAAAAGACACGCAAGCGCGGAGCCAGCACCCGGCGAGGGGGCGTAGCCGCACGTGCTGGCTCCGCTGGAATCTACAAAGTCGCCGGGTAAGTAAGGACTAAGGAGTTGCACTTGCGCCATTGGAGAAGAACTGAAGAAGGAAAATGAAGACTGAAGGAAAGGCACAACTGGGTTTTTATTTTTTTGGTTGGGTTTGGGCTTAAGTATATTAAATATTGGGCCTATTGTTATTTAATTTATTTAGTCCAAATGAATTTAGCCAACCCGTTACCCATAACCCATTTTATTTGGCCTGCCATTTCCTTCACATTTTCATTTTTCAATCCTCAGGGCCAGCAGAAGATGAGAGGCAGCAGCAAGAATTGTGAATGTCCCCCAAATTACCAAACCCTTTTCCTCAATCTCACTTCTTCTTGCTCCAAATTCACACCATAGACTTCAGACATCAGACTTTCAGACCAGTGAGTGGTGACTCCTTCTTTCCCTCTTTATTATTATTTTTTTTTTTTGGGTTTTGGTGTTGATGTGCGTAAAAATGCTAACAAATTTCAAGAATGGGAATTTGAAGAGTAATACTCCTGAGTCCTGAAGGAACGTGTGTGTGACTTGTGAGAGAGGCGATGGGGGTGGAATTTTATGTTCTTGACTTGTGAAGTGATAAATGGAATTCTTGAATGGAAAAGTGAGAATTTGAAGAAGGGAATAAAGAATTTTATTATTATTCTTTTTTTTTTCTTTTTTTTTTTTGGTACATAGTACTGCACATTGTAGAATTAATTATACAATATATTGAGGTTAATAAATCGTCTTAGTAATTTTTGAAGATGTAAAAAAAAATTCGAGAGTCGTATAGGTGAAGTCATGTCACTATAAGTTAGTAAACAAACAAAATATGCAATAAATACATAGAAAAATATCTTGTCGAAAAATGTTAAATTATTTTACTAGGGATTTCAATTTGTTAAATAAACAAGCAGCAAGAGGCGAAGTAGAAGATCTTATAAATTAAGAGTATGATCAAGAAGCATGTCATCACATAAATCTTCTCATTTTAATAATTAATACAAGCAAAGACTAATAGATAGAACTCTTGCGTTAAGATAAATCACTAGAATTGCGTTAAGATAAATCACTAGAATTCTCACAATCTAAAGTTCTGGGCTTAGCTTTCATGGTAGTTGCTGAACAAACACTAGAAGTGATGCTCACTTTGATTATTTAGACTTAGAAAGTTAGACATGAACTTCCTGTTTAAGTTGTATGTTCACAGTCTAGTATTAACTATTGAGCACTGAACTAAGCAAAAATAAAGGGACAAAAGTTGAAAACAAAAATGACACTCAGAATTAGAATTACGTTCTCATAAAGAATTAGACAACAATTTAATGGAATTGGATCTTTGTGATAATGTATTAGTGAAACATAAAGAATTTCTCCAAAATGCTATAAATGGAACAAAAACATAAAATTAAATGTACAGTCTGGTTCCAGTATGAAACTTGTTGACATTAGGTTTCAATCCCCGTGTTTGATGATGAGTAATTTATGTTTATGAAATTGTATTTGCGAATTGTGATTTATGACGAGTAATTTATAATTTGATGAGGGAATATGATATTAGGAATGATTATTGATTTGAGAATTTACGTTTAGGATGACATTTTGTAGATTATGGAACGAATTTTTCAACCAAAACGAAAGTCCATACTCAATTCTTCTACTTCTAGTTGTGGATCTAGTCCCGCCACTGATTCTAGTCGAGCACAAGAGTTATTGAATAACACAAAGAAGTCTCGGGCTCAATTTAATGTGGATGATCTTATATCTGATCCAGGGATACGCCCCCCTATCGAATCATATGATCCTAACATTAGAGATGTTGTTAGGATGGCATACTTGGAGAAGGGTCCTTGTAACCATATGAACATGATTTTTTAAGAAGACCGATGGGGAATGATAATAGATATTTTCGGAAAGAATGGATCTCCGAATTTCGTTGGTTGGAATACAGTATAGAAAAGGATGCGGCGTATTGTTTGCATTGCTACCTGTTCAAACCTGATAGAGGGGTTCAAGGGGGTGGACATATATTTACTAAGACCGGCTTTAGGGATTGGAAGCACGAAAAGACATTGAAAGATCGTGTCGGTCTCTTTGATAGTTCTCATAATTAAGCTTTTGCAAAGTGTACCAACTTGATGAATCAAAAGCAAAGTATCTCTTACGTTATTTCTAGCCAAAGTAGTAATCAACAACAAAGTTATAGGACCAGGTTGATTGCGGTGCTAGATTGTACTAGACCCCTCTTGATGCAAGGATTGTCATTTCGTGGTGATGATGAATTGAAAGAGTCTCTTAATAGAGGAAATCTAATTGAGTTATTGAACTGGTATGCAGCTCGTTGTAAGGAAATTAAAGAAGTATTATTTAATAATGCCCCTGGAAATGACCAAATGACTTCACCAACCATCCAAAAGAATTTGATTAATTGTTGTGCCGTAGAGACGACAAGGGCTATTATCAATGATATTGGTGATTCTTTGTTTTCAATTTTAGTTGATGAGACTCGTGATAATTCTGTGAAAGAAAAAATGGCAATTGTTTTAAGGTTTGTTGATAAAAGTGGGCGAGTGAAGGAGCGTTTTTTGGGTATATCACATGTCACTGATACTTGTGCCCAATCACTGAAGGATACCATTGATGCAATGTTTTCTACACATGGGTTGAGTATATCTAGTCTGAGAGGTCAAAGCTATGATGGAGCAAGTAATATGTCAGGTGAGTTCAATGGGTTGAAAGCTTTAATTCTTAGAGAGAACCCACATGCTATGTATGTTCATTACTTCGCTCACCAGATTCAGTTGGCAATTGTATTTGTGGCAGGTAGGAATTGTATGGTTGGTGATTTTTTGGACGTACTTGCTATTATTGTGAATTTGGTTGGTGCATCATGTAAGTGTGTAGATGCTCTTCGAATAAGTTATCAAGCTAATATTCTGGAGAAGCTTAATACTGGGGAACTTACTGGCGGAAGTGGTCAGTTTCAAGAAATGAGTTTGGCACGCCCAGGTGATACTAGATGGGGCTCACATTTATTAACAGTTACTCGTTTCATTAATATGTTTAATGCTATTATAGATGTTCTTGAGAATATATCAGAAGATGGCGTACATTCAGATAAAAAATCTTCGGCCTTAAGACAGATGAACAATATGCAAGATTTTGAGTTTGTGTTTAGTCTTCACTTTATGTTTCAAATTCTTGCAATTACAGACGACATTTCACAAGCCTTACAGAAAAAGGATCAGGATATTCAGAATGCTATGAGGTTATTGAATTTGTGTAAGTGTGCATTGCAGAACTTGAGAGAGAATGGTTGGGTACTTTGTTCAGTAGGGTGATTAAGTTTTGTGTTGATAGACATATTTTAGTGCCTAATATGGAGGATATTGTAGTAATGAAAGGTCGACCTAGGCATGTAGCTCAACAGGTGACTTATTTTCATCGCTTTTATGTTGATTTGTATTGTCATGTGATAGACTCAATCTTGTAAGAGTTGAATGATCGATTTCCAGAAACAACTACTGAGCTCTTTACTTGCATTTCATGTTTAAGTCCAAGAGATTCATTTGCAGCTTTTGATAAGGATAAATTGCTATGTCTTGCTCAGTTCTATCATTTGGACTTCAATAGTGAAGAACTTTTATTACTTAGACCACAGTTTGATAAGTTTCTTTTGCTTGTGAGAATGGACGAAGCTTTCTTTAATCTTAATAGTATATCCTGTGTAGCTCAGAAGTTGATTGAAACTAGAAGTTCCTATTATTTTCCATTGGTTTATAGGCTGCTCACCTTGGCTTTGATATTACCTGTGGCAACTGCAAGTGTTGAAAGGATATTTTCTGCTATGAATCTAATCAAGAGTGATTTGCGCAACAAAATGGGAGATGTATGGTTGAATGACAATTTGGTGGTTTACGTGGAGAAAGCTATTTTTAAACAACTTGAGAATGAGGCAATATTGCGACGTTTTCAAATCATGAGACCCCGTAGAATACAGTTGTCTAAGTTTACAGTTACAAAGTAACTAAGTAAGGTTGTATCGTATATTTTTTTTTACTATTTTGGGTTGTATCGAAGTATATTTTTATATGTATATGATTTTGACGTTTTAGTTCATTTACATATATATTGAATAACTTTTAATATTATGTAACCAAATTTTAATAAACGATCGGACTATTACGATCGTCGATAGTCAACGATCGTCGGTCAGCGGTCAATCCGTCCTAACTGGACTTGAATCCTGGATTCACCGTTGAAGACACGTAAGATTGAACTACATTATTTTGTAAGAGCTAAAATTGAATATATCATTATTTAAATTAATGTAACTTCGTTAATATTAAAAAATTAATTATAACATGGAACCCGGCAACCGAATCCGAGCAGTTTCATAATTAAATTTGGACTCGATGATTCCACTTACTAAATACCCGAAAATTTCGGGTCTTATTCGGTTCTCGTTAGAATTGAACCGAATCATGTCTAACCCTATAATTTTTATTCAATATTAGATCTAATGGAATAAAAGAAATATGATAAATCAAAGGGAAAATTGTAGCAGTCGTCCCTAATATTTTCATTTTTTGCCGACTTTACCCTAACCTTCATTTTGTGCCGTGAATGTCCCTAACCTCTTGAGGTCCACCTGGACGCAAACCATCTAAAATATCGTCGGTTAACTAAGAAAATTCCTTGAACTATCTACTACCGTAACAGTTTTATTGAATGTTGATATCTTTTTGGACGGTGTTTTTTGACGGTTTTATTGGATATTAATTCCTTAATTTTAGAGTTAGCTGTTGGTGTTTTGGACGATTTCTGTCCAGATGGACCTCAGGTGCATATCTAGGAAAGGTTATGAACCTACACTAGCGCAAAATAAAGATTATGATAAAATCTGTAAAAATAAAAAGATTAGGAAACGTTGTTGCAATTTTCCCAAAATCAAACCTATGTTTTGTTGGGATTAAAATTTAGATTTAATCTAAGTCTAAGTTATCAATTAATTTTAATCATTTATCTCATGGGACATAAACCATTTCAACCACACATTTAATCATTTCTGTTATTAAAATTTATTAAAAATTTAATTTAGTCCTCTCCAAACAGAGGCCAAATCAGAAATGGAGTATAATTATCTGCCTTGAACTTGGATTTCCACGATTTATGCTAGATACAAACATGATAACTGATGTAACAAAATCGATTATTTTAATAAGAAAGGATAGTCTCAATACCTTAATGTTCTCTTTAAATTTGGTATTAATAAGATATATGACAATATTATAAATTTATAATTCGACTGATTGTCAATGAATTTTATAGGTTGATCAATATTTTTAAAGAATATTCAAGTCCACAAGCACATTTCAATTTTCTAAATATAAATATGTAGATGTCCTGAATCATATCTCACTGCATCATGTTTATGTAAGTCATCACGTAAATCGTTATATACATATAGTACAACCGTTTTCTCTTCCACTAAGACCTTTTTGACATGAATTTTACTTTTATTTTTGCTTTCTGTGGAAGAGTTTTTGAAGAAATTTGTCTTAATTTTTGTTTAAAGAATAATTTTTAAAAGAAATCACGTTGGATGAAGTTACTCCAAAATTAGCCAAATTGATCCAAAAGTAATTTTAAATCTAAAAAATTTCTCTTGACTTTTCAAAATTCAAGTCAAATTTGTCTTAAGACACTTTGGTACTTACACTTTAGTAGCCCACTTCCATTCAGGCTTTATTCAGTTCAATGGGCTCAATTGCAACGGACCTTTTAAAACAAAATAGTGTTTCTTGAAGAAGCCCTCCAATTTTTCTTTATTATTTCAGACCCCTTTAATTTAAACAAAATTACAGCACAGACCAAAACATTTCCAGAAAGGTCGAGAGAGAAACAGCAGAAAAAAGGGACGATTATGGGGAAAGATCTGAGCGACGATCAGGTCTCATCAATGAAAGAGGCCTTCACGCTTTTCGACACCGACGGCGATGGAAAGATCGCCCCGACAGAGCTCGGGATCCTAATGCGTTCACTCGGCGGGAACCCAACCCAGGCACAACTCAAATCCATAATTTCCGAAGAAAAACTCAATTCCCCGTTCGATTTCCCGCGATTCCTTGACCTCATGTCCAAGCATTTGAAGCCGGAGCCTTTTGACCGCCAGCTCCGTGACGCGTTCAAGGTTCTGGACAAGGATGGGACCGGCTACGTCGTCGTTTCGGATCTCAGACATATTTTGACTAGTATTGGGGAGAAACTGGAGCCGGCGGAGTTCGATGAGTGGATCCGTGAGGTAGATGTTGGATCCGATGGCAAGATCCGGTATGAGGACTTCATCGCTCGCATGGTCGCCAAGTGAAATGGTGAGCTTGTGCATTTTGAATTTTAATGCATTTGCTACCTTTATGATTTCTTTAGTTTCCATTTTTTATTATTATTATTATTTTGGCGCTTGTTTTAGCAATCATTTATAGTATTGACAATGGATTGTTATTAGCTTTTCCTGTTTCAGGGTTAATTTATTATTTTCTCGCAATAGAGTGCTTGTATTAATGTGAATGAGATATGGAGAATTGTGTGTAGATGTTAGGTGATAATTGTTTACCTCAAAAATTGCACCAACAGAATCCCTACTTCGTCCCCTCATCACTTGAACATAGAGCACTCCGTTAGGAGGCAAAGGCCGCTGGTCGAGAAAAGGGTCCGGCAACTGTTTGCACTCCAATAAAAAGTGCAAGAGAGGAGAGGGGGTTTGGTTCGGGTTAGCATGACTTACCTGAAAATGAAATGTAACCACACATATATTTAGAAAATGGAGACGAGCTGAGTGCGTTAATGGGCTTCATCCAAGTCCAATGGTAAGGCCCATTATGCGATAATTTATATGTATAACAATAGTTTCCCAAGTTTGAGGCGTATTATTTATATGCGGGTCGGATTTCGAAATATAAGCTGTCAAATAAACGATGTCACGTTGGCCAATGTGGGACCCCCTTCGTCATTCGTATGCCACGTAATTTTTGGACATAACAATAGTCTCTCAATTCCGAGTTGCATTATTTATATGCGGGTCGGACTTCGAAATATAAGCTGTTATGTAGACGAGGGGTAGCTCCAATAAGCGAGGACTTATGAACTGCCTTGAAAATGTGTGTGAGTCAGAATAAGCGAGGACTTACAAATCGTCTCGAGAGATAGATACTGCAAATATTTTGTCGAAGTTTCGAAAGCATCTCCCCTTTCATATGGACTAAACGAACCTGTAAAACAATACAATATATTCATAGCACATATAGCATATAAATTTGGGGTCCATTTACCCCTTTAAATGCACATAACTATAAAGTAAATAATGACATAACATTTCTCCAAGATACGTGCAGAGGGGCTGTCATGTATTACGGTAAATTATATGTTCGCATAACTCAGTGTCTCAGTAGTGCTATAGTGAAGCAAGTAACATGATGTCAACAATAAAATGAGAATGATGATAACATGACATACGTACTGGCTGTAACGAAAATAATGTATGACATGCTAGCAGTGATATGGCATTCATGCTTGGAAGCAGTAATATGATGTGTACGCTAGCAATAATATGTAGTGATGCTAAGATACTAGTATCACAATAACTATAGATGTATTATGGATTATGAGTTATTAATAACTGGGGTCTATAGAAGAAATTATTGGTTACGATAAAGTGATAATTGTGGATAATTAATAATACATGAGAATTGGATGCAAGTTTACCTTCAGAAATTGACTAATTGAGTTTTAAGTTGGATAATCATGGAACAAAAATGATGCTTTTGGTGCCTGACTGATTTCAAACAGAATAAGAAATTCTTGTTGCACTTGTGAGTGCTAGGACTGACCACCGTGCAGTGTATGAATAGCAACTCGTAATGGACGAATATGCAAGTGATCATAACCACAAGGACGAAAGGCTTTACAAATTTACTGAGGTAGATGTACATCCAAGTTCCCTGTATTTTGCCAATTTTCTGTTGTCTCCAAGTATTGTCACTGTGAAGAGAGGGTTGTGAGCAACGGTCAATCAAAGTTTTGGGGTGTATCTATAAATAGGAGAAGTGGAAGCGAGAAATTCTTCTTCTTCTTTGTGAATGTACAGGGACATTAGAAGAGAACTGAGAATGAAGAAAAAGGAAGGTCATTTTCTTTTCCCCTTAGCAGATAGGAAGTCCTACAATTGCTAGCACCTGTACAGAAAAGGAGAGAGATATTAGCATTATATTTTTTCTAGTTCCTTCATATCCCCCTCCTTGTACTATTCTAACTTGTGGAAGGAGCACTATTGTGGTGGTGGTGAAACTCGTACTTCCTTTTTTTTCTCTCCTTGAGAACGTTCAAACCAAGTATTTTCCTCGACCCTTCATTTATTTCAAATACCTATTAAGCATATTTTCATTCCCAAAGCCTCTATCTGGTATCTTGGCTGGACAATCTCAAATTTTTGTTGTCTGGCATTTCTTTATTCATAACTCTTAATTTTACTTTAAATTTTGTTTTATAAAGCTACATGCAGAACCTGTTGCTCCACAATATATATGTTGCACGATCCTTTTCTCAGTCACGTGACTATGTTATGTTAAGCCAGAATAATTTTCTCCTTAAGACCAGTGCAAGTGTGTGTTGCATTTGGACGTTAAGGGAACAACATATTGGTACAGTTAGCTTATGGAAGGAAAAAAAGAATCATCTCTTGTAGCAAATAATCATTTTGAATTAAGTGTTGTGATTTTATCTCCTGTCTAAATTGGATATTTACCTCCAAAAAGTAAAAGTGACAATCTGAGACCCCCCTCATTTTTTCTCTTTTGCCTGTTTAAATTGTAGCAACAAGCTGCAACAGTTTTGTTACTAACATGTTGAATATTTGGTTACAAAGGATGGTTGACATTTATTGCAATATTGAAACTCAAGCTTCTGTATTGGTTATTGTACTACATGGTTGCTTCATAACGTCATAGATGATGAAATTTTTGCTTGCTGCCAAATGTTGGTCTATGATTCAGATGTTAAAAATGTCTTCTTGTAGGCATTGATTTTTGATTTTTTTGATTTTTTTATGTATGTCCTTCATTTGCCAGGCCTTCTCGCCTTATCCTAACCTACTACCCTAAATTCTATGGGAAAATTGGGTATACAGTGCAAATCAAGTTTCTGTGATTCAAATGGACTCTTGGACCCTACCATCTCATCTAGATTGATATTGGAAGATCCTGTAGCAGGATTTTTGATATTTTTCTAACCTACTAGGATAACTTGAATTGGAAATATTTGAGATTTACAAGGAAATTTGTTATATTCCCGTCTTATAGTGTGAAATTCAGTTTGCCTATCTTCACCACCCTTTTGGCATGTTTGGCTGGGAGGGTTGCATTGCACTCAACAGTATTAAGAAAAATATGATTCACAGTAGTGTCTGGTCTTATTTAGTATTCCATAGCAAAAATGCATTGGTTAGACCAATTTATGAAATACTTGATTGCTTCGTAAACGAGTGCTTTATTTTTTCTTTTTTAAATTTTTGCAGGTAACTCGCAAGTGCTGGCTGTATTGTGCATTCTTGTGATGCTAGAACCCGATCTACTACTACTATAGTAGGCTTTAATTTGGCATTCTGAAGTGCATTTTCAACTGTCTCCTAGTTTTTGCATGTTTCGGCAGTTTGAATGGGCAATGTTTTTGGTTTAGGGCATTTTAAAAATCCATCATCAATTAGGATTTAGAAGTACTTAGCGTGTATAGTTGAGCTGTACCCAAACCTAAAGATTAATGCTTTCCGTTTCTTGATCTTTTGTTTTTTTATTGATTGGGCTTGGCATTGCCCCTGCTATTTATAAAAATTTGTACCCTAGAATTCGACTTCATAGAGATGCACATAACTTAAACGTAAACAGTTAGAATAAAAACGTTAAACGATGAAATTGTTTTAAGTGAAGCATGTACCTAATTGATAGAATGATTTCTACCTCACGGCTCGCATATCACTTGCATATTTTTCTTTTGCTATTGAATGATTCCCGAAGTGAAACCAGCAATATTTTATATTTAACCTAAATTTAATTTTCCTGATTAATTGTTTAATCACAAAATCAAAGTGAAGTTATAAATTCATTAATGTTTCTAGACGGGTAATAAGCACAAAACATCCCTACCTTTCGATGTTTTTGTGAAAAACGTCCCTACCTTTTGTTTTTTGACAGATTACACCTTCACCTTTACTTTTTTTTTGCGCAAAATGTCTTTCTGTCAACTCTCCGTTAAAATGTTTCGTTAAATCAAAAAGTAATTAGCACAAAACGTCCATACCTTTCAATATTATTGTGCAAAACGTTCATACTTTTCATTTTTTTAGCATAATTAGCATAAAAGGTCCATACATTGTTATTGTGCAAAACGTCCATACCTTTCATTTTTTAGCATTTTCACCCCTACCTTTCACCTTTCATTGCAAAAAAGGTCATTCTCATCCATTTTTTCAATAAAATGACGATTTTACCCTCATATTCAAATAAAACAAAAAGAAAAGAAAAGAAAAATAATTAATTAATTGTAATCATAGTCCTAAATCTTTCAAAACATTATAGATAAATTCTAAACTTTCCACTACCGCCACTTTCATAACCCCATCAAGCCACTACCTATAGATCCATATAGTACTACCTTTCGGCCACAACACCTATCGGACTCCACCACCACCAGCCTCACCTCACTCTTCCCAATATCCTCCTCCATAGTATTGGTCACCAATCTGTCCAAAACAACCACATTTACGGTGGCAGAGTTTGGTGGGAATGGTGGCAGAAATGTGGTATTATGTTGATTTATAGTCGACAGTTTGATAGATTGTGAAAGTGGTGGTGATTGGGAATTTATGATTTCTTTGTAATTTTTTAAAAATATGGTTGTAGTTGGTTATTCATCTTTTCTTTTTGTTTTATTTGAATAGGAGGGTAAAATCGTCATTTTATTGAAAAAATGGATGAGGAGGATCTTTTTTGCAATGAAAGGTGAAAAGTAGGGATGAAAATGCAAAAAAATTAAAGGTAGGGACGTTTTGCACAATAACATTGAAAGGTAGGGACCTTTTGTGCTAATTATGCCAAAAAATGAAAGGTAAGGACATTTTGCACAATAATATTGAAAGGTAGGGACCTTTTGTGCTAATTATGCCAAAAAATGAAAGGTAAGGACATTTTGCACAATAATATTGAAAGGTAGGGACCTTTTGTGCTAATTACCTTTTGATTTAACGGAACATTTTAACGGGGAGTTGACAGAAGGACATTTTGAGCAAAAAAAGGTAAAGGTGAGGGTGTAATCCATCAAAAAACGAAAGGTAGGGACGTTTTCCACAAAAAATATCGAAAGATAGGGACGTTCTGTGCTAATTATCCTTTTTAGACCATGATGAAGAAAGCTATGACACGAAGAATTTTTCATTTGAAATGAGTTTCTCTGGGTCACAATCATGCTGTCAAAGATCTTGTCAAATTATCTGAGAATTCTAGCATTACTTTGTTCTAAAATGTGTGGTACAACAAATGATTATTTTATTATTTTATTTGTACGTTAGATATTACATCACATAATGTATAAGTGACACTACGTAATTGGTTGATGAAAATTGTTTGATGGCTGATAATGTACAAGTGACACTATGTAATTGGTTGATGAAATATTATGTTAGACTTGATGCATATGTAGCAAAGCCCATGATTATATTATTCATTACTTCCTCCCTCCACAACCCCCCGTTTCCCAAAATAGGAAAAAATAAAAAATAAAAAATTATACGACCAGTTTAGTGCTATTTACGTCATTTCGGTATACCGTATTATGCCCAAGCACAGTTAATTTTTAAGTCTAAGCCTAAACTTGGGTTCCATTATATTCAAAATGCATTATTGTCTCTTTTATTTTTAACCACATTCTCCAATAAAATAATTTTACATATAAATTCAAAACTTTTCATTTTCTTTTAAATTTTAACCATATATATATATATCTATATTTTTAAAAAAAATCACCATTTCAAAATAAATTTCAATATAGCTTCACAAGATGTTAGATCTTGTAAAGCTATATTGATAACATCTAGATTTTTGTCAAAGTTAAAGTCAATAATTAATTTTAATGGCATGTATTATAGGATTCATAATTTTTTAAACACATATTTTATCAATCAAGATTTACTTTAAGTTTAATTTTAATTTTTACTAAATAGGGGTTAAATTGTTTAGATACGTTCAAAAATTTAGATTTTCTATTTACGTGGAAATCCCCCCCGCCTCCACCCCTTCCCCCGCCCATCGAAGGAAGAAATCTTGATGGAATTGCTATATAGACAATTTTGCAAAGGAATATTCCAATGTTTTTCGAGAAGAGGTGAGAAACTTCTTCGGTATATAATTTGATTGACAGTCTCTTGTTTGAAGAAACTTCCATTTCCATTTTTTCTTCACAAATAACAACTTCTTTCACTAAGATTTTAGATAACGATCTTGAATTCAAAGTGATTTTATTTCGCCACTTTATCAGAGGACAATCTACAATTATCAATTATAGTCCTTGCAAAACAGATCATTCATCAATAAGAAACTCCAATTTTTTTTTTTTTTTTTGGAAAGATATATATAATATATTTTGTGTAATATCCTACGTATATAAAAGATCAAAGATATTGACGAAACACTTGTCACAAATTGGTATCATCCTGTACTTTTTTTTTTAATATTATGTTGGGCCATTGAAAAGAAGCATATGATAGTCAGATTTCTCCATTTTTTTTTCACTCAATCTACCATTCATCTATTACTCTTCTTCTTCTTTCCAAATATCAAAAAAACTAAACTCTCGAATTCAAGTTGCAATACATTAGACAGGGTTCATATGTGCTTCTTGTAAGTGAAAATTTTCTTTACTTGTGATTTGTTTCTCGCGTTACAATTCATATTGTTTCATTATTTGCTCATTCACATTGTTAATGATAAGTAAGATTACCTGGGTAACTTTAAAGACCAAAATAGTCAAATATTACCAAGGTTATTTTTTTTATAATTATAATGATTTTGAAAAATTTAGTACTTTCCGGTTCACTTATATTTGAGTTGCTGTACATTGAATGAGGTTCATTTGTGTACCTTGTAAGTGAAAAATCTCTTTACTTATGGTTTATTCATTGCTTTAGAGTTCATTTTGTTTAATTGTTTACTCGTTTTATAGTGTTGATGATAAATCACCTGAGTAATTATAAAGACCAAAATTATCAGATATTACCAATGCTGAAGCCTGTATGAAGACATTAGCTCTGTGAGGAATTCTCTCTATCTAGGACGGAGAAAATGGAGAGTTTCTCCATCCCGGTTTCTTCATCCTAAATGAAGTTCATTTTCTCCATCCTGGACGGAGATGGAGAGGTTTCTCTCCATCACACGGAGAGATATCTGAGATTTTATTTTTCGTTTTTTTCCTCATTTTTTTAAAATTTGTTTTGTTTATGTTATAAATAAATTTTTTTTCGATTTAAAATTCTTTATTTAATTCTTTTCTTTTTATGATAAAACTTATTTTTTTTAATTTGAATTAAATAATATTTATATATTCTTTATTTAATTTTTGTAACTTTCTTTTGTTTAATTTTTTTTGTTTTTATTATATATTTTTCGAAAATTGTTTTAAAATTTCTTTTTTCTTCATATTATAAATAATTTTTTGTTCAATTTAAATTTTTAATTCTTTTCGTTTAATGATATAATTAAATTTTTTCAATTTTTTAAATAATATTAGGATTTAGTTAGGTCTAATGACAACAAAATCAGGTCATTGGAAGAAGGTTCATACATGAAATTGCATTTAATATTTTAAGTTATAATTTAGTATTTTGCATGATGCCCGTTAACATGAAAAACCATTTTTAATGCAATAGTGTAGATATTATTATGTTGTATATCTTGGTGATATTTAATTATTATAATCATAGTATGGATTAGGGGCAAAGCTTGAGTAGGCTAAATCATATTTTAGGCTGAACTAATATATATAGAGAAATATATTTCGCATAAAAGAGTTTCCCACAAACTTTTGTACAGAGAAATGTCTGGTACAAATATATGCAATTTCTTAAATGTTCATAAGAAAAATAAAAAATATACTGAGAAAATTGACGAAAAATAAGTTAATTTCAACGAATTTATGAATATCTTTTAAATTTATAAATGAATTTTTCTAAAATTTAAACACTTTTTTTTTTAAATATTAATCAATTAACTTGTAACGCACGTTCACACACTAGTTGATAGAAAAATGTCATTCTACATTAGAAGGTTTTTTCTCTCTCTCTCTCTCTTATTTATTTATTTATTTTTTTCTTCTTTCTGTAAATCTAATTTGTCTAGACAATCAGTCTCTAATTTGTAATGGAATAATCACATGCATATAAATACAAACGCAGTGGGAGAGAGAGATTTGGAATTCAACTGGGACACCCAAAATATGACATGCATCCATACCACCTCTTCATGCACCCTCCACTCTTCTTTAAACAAGAACACCACAAGAAAACAAAACAAAAAACACAAACAAAACCCAAAACCAGAATCCCAATTTCCCAAATCATCCTCAACGCCACTCTTAACCACCCAAAATATCCGGTCACATACAAAACTTGAAGCCCTTGAAATCGTCATTAACAAAATAGAAGCCTCTGTCAAAAATGGCGTCGAAATCAATGATCCCCATATCTTTGCTTCCCTTCTAGAAACCTGCTTTCATTTAAAAGCCATTGATCATGGCAGTAAGATTCATAAACTCATTCCAGAAAGACTTTTGCGTAAAAATGTGGGCATTTCATCCAAGCTTCTAAGGT